ATTTATATTTCAGACCGAGCCAATGCTCCATGAATTTCTACAATCACAATATCTTTCACAATGTGTTTACCACGTATAGAAGCCATCAAATATGATGGAAGGCATAACAATATCCAAACAACCCACATATAAGGACTCACGGTCATCCTAGACCCCAATGTATAGGAACTCGTCACCATGCCTATACATCGTACTCGATCATTTAGCAATTAGCAAACAAGACTCGACTCATATTCCCTCAAGCTAGGGTTAAACCAAACACTTACCTCAACTTCCACGGCCAATACAATCCTCCACAATCGCTTTCCCTCTCGAGTTCGGCTCCAACTCGACCAAATCTATGCAATAAGGACTTCATGTTATCAAGATGTGCTAGACAAATCAAACCCAATGACTAATTATAGCTTTTTCATCAATTTACCCCAAAAGGTCAAAAATGCCCCCGGGCCCACATGGTCAAAACCCGAGGTTCGAACCAAAACCCGTTTACCCATTCCCCCATGAACTCAAATATGTAAGTTATTTTGGAATCGGACCTCGAATTGATGTCCAAAACTCCCAAATTTAGAAAACCTAGGTTCTACCCTAAATTCTCAATTTCCCCATTAAAATCTTTGTTTTGAAGTTGAAATTATGTTTAAGGATGTTAAGGAGTAAAGAAAATCAGTTAGAAATCACTTACCAATCGTTTTGAAGAAGTTGAATCGTTTGGAAAATCGCCTCTTATGTTTTGGGTTTTGAAAAAGTGAAGAAATGACTGAAAATCCCGACTTTATATACTGAGCTGGAGACTGGCGTGGACCCCACAAAAATGCACCGCGGCCACGCCAGGAAGGGAAGAAAATGACTCTCTGAACCTACCCAGCGCGGACCGCACTGATTTGGAGCGCGGCCGTGCTGGTTGAATGGACCCAAGACCCACTCTCTGAATCTCCCAGCGCGGACCGCACTGATTTGGTGCGCGGCCGCGCTGGTCGACCTAGAATTCACTGGCCCTCTGAACCTAGCCACGCGGACCGCGCAGAAATGCACTGCGGCTGCGCGGCTTCCAGCGCGGACCGCGTGGAAATGACCGCGGCCGCGCTGGGGGCCTGCAACCCCTGAACCTGCAACCATCTGCTATCTTTCTTGCCTAAGACCTCCCGGGACCTACTCAAGACTCACCCGAGCCCTCGGGACTCCAAACCGAACATACATATAAGCCCAAAAACATCCTACGGACTCATCCGTGCGATCAAATCGCCCAAACAACATCAAAATCATCAAATTAGGCCTCAAGACCCAGGATTCCTTCCAATTTCCATGAAACATCAATTTTACTGCTTCTAGCTCAAAACACGTCAAATGATGCCCAAATCTGACCAAACTTCACAGCAATTGCTTAACTCATATTTAAGACTTGTGCCGGGCGTCGGAACCAAAATACGAGCCCAACAGCACAGTCTTCTAAACAAATAACACTTTCCAATTCTTTAATTATTTTCAGAAAACAATTTCACGTGAAAATTCATTCCTCGGACTCGGGACCTCGGAATTTGATTCCGGGCACATCCCCCAAGTCTCATATTTTCCTATGGACCCTCCGGGACTGTCGAATCACGAGTCCGGGTCCGTTTGCCCCAAACGTTGACCGAAGTCAAACTTAATCAATTATAACATAAGAATTTTATTATTTGTCTCACAAATTCATATTTAAACGTTCCGGCTACGCGCCCGGACTACGCACACAAACTCGAGGCAACCCCCAAGTGAGGTCTTCATGGCCTCAGAAATACAGAGCGAGTAGGAATACAGGTGATGACCCTTTGGGTTGTCACAAAAGGTCTCTTGAAAGATACGTGTAATTCTTATAGTAAATACTAGGTAAAAACTGATACAGTTGTTGCTACTGCATTGTTTTGTCAAGTTTATGGCACACTTTGGAGGCAAGTGAGAAACACATACAAGAAAACGATTCAGTACATGGTCTAGCTGTCAATGAAGTATAACAAAAACAGCGAGGACGAAAGATCAAATCCCAGCGGAAGCAAAAAAGTTGGGTGATTTCTCTCCATTTGACGAGAGGCGGACGTAGCACTCGGGCACTGGATTCATTTGAACTCATTATTTTTAACGTGAAATATAAATTTATGCGGGGGATGGGGAAGAGCACAGGAAACATGGGGATTTGGGGGGTATCATAAAAATTATTTTTCTAACAAACAATTTCTACTATCTAACAGTGGCGAAACCAGGATTTTCATTAAGGTGAGTCAAAATATAAAGAAATAAACTCATCAGAAGTCAAGGGGTGTCATTATATAGTATATATACATATTTTTTTAAAAACATTACCGAGCTAAACAATGTAATTTTCCGAAGAATCCGCCACTGTTCTCTAATCAAACACTAGACAATATTTTCCGAATCTTTTTTTTCACTTACCAACCAAACAAGGGAAAATGAGTGGTGTAGACACTGAAAAATTAATAGATCAAGATAAATCCTAAATTCAAGACGATTCTTGAAATATTAGGAGTCTATTAGGGTTACTTGGTTGCTACTCCACCCAAACTCTAATTCATCCTTATAAATTAGGCTACATATGTTCTTCAAAGAGGATCTCAAAAATAGTTTCATAAACGCTCGGAATATGCACAAAGAGGTCAAATTTACGATCTCCGAAATTCCATAAAACTCTTGGAATATTCATTAAGAGGTCAAAGACATGTCAAATATGTCTTCCTCAAAGTTCTAGCAACATTCAAGATCCAAATGGAGTGCTGCTACATGCTTCTTGATCATCAAATACATCAAGAAGATGCATATCATCCTACGTTCAATAAATACGCCGCTAAGGCCCTCAAATTACAGATAATAATTTGGAGGAAAAAAACAAGGGATAAACAGAGTTATAACCCACAATGTTTATCAATAAAATTCTTTTTTGTTTATAGTTGTTTATGATAGCTGTTTTATTTTTCTACACAAATTTATTTTGCAATTAAATTGGCATGCCAAGTGGGACCAGCTCTGCCCTTCGTCTCTTCCTCCTGCAAATCAAAAACTACAAATTTTAATATTATCTGTTGTGATAGTCGAGTACTTCAAGTCTTGTCTTCAAGTTTTAGCAAGCTTACACCTCGACAAACCTTGAAGTAGGGGGCATTTGTAGACACTAAAAATTTAACATATCAAGATAAATCCTAAATTCAAGACGATTCTTGCAATATTAGGAGTCTATTAAGGTTACTTGGTTGCTACTCCACCCAAACCCTAATTCATCCCTATAAATAAGGCTACATATGTTCTTAAAAGACGATCTCAAAAGCAGTTCCATAAACTCCCGGAATATGCACAAAGAGATCAAATATACGGTCTCCAAAATGTTATAAAACTTTTAGAATATTCATTAAGAGGTCAAAGACATGTCAGATATGTCTTGCTCAAGTTCTAGGAACATTCAAGATCCAAATGGAGTGATGCTACAAGCTTCTTTATCATCAAATACGTCAAGAGGATGCATATCATCCTACGTTCGAAAAATACGCCGCTAAGACCCTCGATTTACGAATAACAATTCGGAGGGAAGAATCAAGGGATAAGCAGAGTTGTAACGCACAATGTTTATCAATAAAATCCTTTTTCGTGTCAAATATGTCTTGCTCAAAGTTCTAGCAACACTCAAGATCCAAATGGAGTGCTGCTACATGCTTCTTGATCATCAAATACATCAAGAAGATGCATATCATCCTACGTTCGAGAAATACGCCGCTAAGGCCCTCGAATTATGGATAACAATTCGGAGGGAAGAATCAAGGGATAAACAGAGTTGTAACCCGCAATGTTTATCAATAAAGTTATTTATTTACTTATAGTTGTTTATGATAGCAATTTTATTTTTTTGCACAAATTTATTTTGCAAACAAGTGGTAAAACCACTCATTTTTCAAAAAAATATTTTTCAGGAATACATTATCCATGGAAAATATTTTCCTTCGTACCAAACACACCCTTACTTTCACTTAATTTGCCACATACTAAATGCCATACATACAGAGTCAACTCAAAATTCATCAAGCGTGCGAGTGATTATTAGTTTATTACTTAGGCAGACTCAATGAAATTAATTCGATTTTGTCACGGATTCAAACGATTGGTAGACAAAATATGTGATATTTTTGTAAGGTGAATTTCTTCCATTCATATTATAAGTGGTTATAGGAGATCGTTTTCTCTTATTTTTATAAGTTTGCGTCTGTACCATGCATTTTATTTCAAAATTTAATTTTGCATTTACCATTTATTACCCTACTAATTTTTGATAATTCATTAAATACACTATTTTAACTTTATTTTAAAAGATAATTCCCATTGTGTTGCAAGTGCCTTAGCTTTACTCGAGTCTAAATCTTGTGTGTGTCTTATGTTAGTTTGAAGTAATTGAGAGGAAGAAGATAGAAATGATAGAGAGGAAAATATTATTCTCATTGATTGATTGTTGTAAGAGAATCGGATCACATATATAGAAGCTTAGCCTAAATAACTTCTTAACTAACTCCTAACCACCTACTTAACTACTTAAGCTAACAAAATAGAAATAAAATTTCTATTTTTACATCATTTAATACTCCCCCTCAAGGTAGGTGGTGTAAAAATGTCAAATACACCTAACTTGGAACTTAAATAAAGATGTTGAACTTTGCTAAACCCTTTTGTTAGCAAGTCTGCTGGTTGATCATTTGTGGAGACATATTTTGTGCTGACAATCCTTGTTGAATTTTCTCTCTTACAAAGTGGTAGTCTATTTCTATATGTTTAGTCCTTTCGTGATATACATGATTAGTTGCTATTTGGATAGCTGCTTTGCTATTAGTGAATATGTCAACTGGTAAATTGACTTCGGCATCAATTTCTTTCAGCATTCCTAGTAGCCATGTTAATTCTGCCACAGTTGCAGCTAAACTTATATATTCTGCCTCGGCTGAACTTCTGAAAACAATAATTTGTTTCTTGGATTTTCAGGAAACTAAGGAGTTGCCAATCTTGATTAGAAAATCAGTAACTGATCTCCTATTAGTTGGACAAGTTGCACAGTCTGCATCACAATATGCAATGACAATGTTGCTGTGATGACTGGATAGTAGAATGCCTTGACCTGGACTGCTTTTAACATACTTCACAATTCTTAATGCTGCTTCCATGTGAGACTTTTTTGATTGTTGAAGAAATTGGCTTAGAGTTTGGACTCTAAATGATATATCTGGTCTTGTTACAGTCAAATATAGAAGTTTTCCTGTTAACCTCTGGTATGCAGTCTGATCAACAGTAGGATCTGCTTCTGATTTTTCATTCTTCCAAATGTGTTCATCATACTGCTTAGTTATAAGCTTCACATTTGTATCAATTGGTGTAGCTGCTAGTATAGATGCCGTTAATCCTACTTCTACAATGAGTTCCAATGCATATTTCCTCTGATACATAACAATTCATTCAATGGATTTAGCAAATTCTAAGCCCAGAAAATATCTTAACTCCCCTAGATCTTTCATTTTGAAAATGTTTTATAGAGATTTCTAGGTGTCTTGAATGAGTTTTAAATTGTCACCAGTAAGTAGCATGTCATCTACATATATTAGAACCAGTGCCATACCTTCAGTTGTCTTTTTGATATATAAGGAATGATCATATTGACTTTGCTTGAATTGTAATGTTATGAGAGCTTCAAAAGTTTCACATTCCATTGTCTTGCGGCTTGCTTTAATCCATACAAGGATTTGGTAAGTCTGCATACCATCTTTTCCCCCTGACTTTCAAATCCTCGAGGTAGATCCATATAGATTTCACCAAGTAGATCACCTTGAAGAAAGGTATTGTACACATTCATTTGATGTATATGCCATTGTCTAGCAGCTGCTAGTGCCAGTATTGTTCTAACAGTTACCATTTTCACCACAGGTGAAAATGTTTTTTGATAATCAATGCCTTCTTGCTAGCTATAACCTTATATAAGCCTAGCTTTAAATATTTCTATCTCCCCCGAAGCTTGATATTTTATCTTTTATATCCATTTGTAGCCTATAGGTTTCTTACCTTCAGGTAATTTGACTAATGTCCAGGTGTTATTCTTTCTAATGCCTTTATTTCTTCTTGCATTGCTGCTATCCATCTTGGATCTTTGCTGGCTTCAGCATATGTAGCAGGCTCAGTGGTAGAAAAGAAAGCTGCAGTAAAGGCTTGGTATTTTGGAGATAAGTGATCATATGCTATGTATTTGTTCAAAGGATATAGTACTTCTTGATGAATATTTAATGACACAAAATCTTTCATCCAGGCTGGTGGTTGTTTATCTCTGTTAGACTTTCTCACTGATAGTTGTTGTGTATTGGATAGACCTCTAGTAAGTGTTCCAGTTGATACATTTTGAGTATTCTGATGTGTTTGAATTTCTTCTTCACTAGGAATCTGATGATCAATAAAGATATTGTCTTCCTGACTATCATGATGTTCTTCTGTGTTATCAACTGGTGATGTTGCTGGTGCTTGAGTGTTATCTATATTAATGTGATTGTTAGTCTGTTGACCTGCACTATTTTCAAACACAATGTTAGTATCATCTGTATAAGAGCCTGTAGATGGTGTAGTATCTACAAATAGAGGTGTCAAGGATGGAGATTGTCTTTTGAATAGGAATATGTCTTCTCTGAACATGACATCTCTGTTGACAAAAAATGATATGTTGTCTAGATCATATAATATGTAGCCTTTGTGCACTTCTGAATATCCCATATGAACAGACTTCTTTGATCTAGACATCAACTTGTATTGTTCTTGTATAATTTTTGCAAAGCAAAGACACCCTAACACTCTTAAGTGTTTTAGTGAAGGTTTTCTGTTGTATAGCCTTTCATAGGGAGACATGTTTCAATAACTGAACTAGGTAGTCTGTTCATCAAATATACTGTAGCAAAGATGCAATGACCCCAAAATATGATAGGTATGTGTGCTTACAGTCTTATAGCTCTTGTTACTTCTAAAACTTGTATGTGTTTTCTCTCAGCTACCCCATTTTGTTGAGGGGTGTAAGCACAAGTACTTTGATGTATCATTCCCAGATTTTTAAATAAGTTTGCACAAATAGAATTCACAAACTCTGTGCCATTATCTGTTCTGATAACCTTGATAGTTTATTGAATTGAGTCTTGATAAATTTGAAGAAATGTTGCAGACATAAGAAGACATCTGATTTTTGCTTAAGCAGGAAAACCCAAGTCATTATACTGTAATCATCCACTATAGTGAGAAAATACTTGTTACCATCAAAAGTAGCTACTCTGTATGGACCTCATAGATCTACATGAATCATATCAAAACAAGAAATACTTCTTATGCTACTAGTTGGAAATTGAAGTCTAGTTTGCTTAGCACAAGGGCATATCATTTATCTACTTTGTCCTTAATATTCTGAAGACTAACATGAAGTATTCTCTTAAGTACTAGTATAGAGACATGTTCAAATCTTTGATGCCACAGCTCCACATTGATCTTATTTGCCTCACTTGCTTTTAGTTCCTTAGCAGCACACACAACTCCATTGTTGTTCCTTGCAAGTTGAGTCAACAAGATGTATAATCCTCTTTCTTATTTACCAATCTCCCTCACCTTCCCAGTGAAGAGATCCTGAAAAATAGAAAAATCAACAAAGAAAGTTGCTGCACATTGTAATTCTTTTGTCATTTTGGAAACGAAAAGCAGATTATACTTAAACTGAGGCACATGGAATACATTAGTTACATTCTTGAGCCATCTATCTTGTTAAATCTTTCTGACAAGTCTTCCCACATGGTTTGTGCACTTGAGGCATACATGATGCGTCCAAGAAGACCTTTAGCTACTGAGTTCATCAGCAATGACAACACAATGGCATTCATTATTTTCCAATGATTTCCAATTGAAACTGGGAATTTTTTTCTTTATTGCATGTGCCATCTACCATACCTAACTTGTTTCTTCCTAAAAGAGCAACACACATAGAGCCATTCCAAATAGAATAATTCTCAATACCTGTAAGTTGAAACGAAATGATTTGGATTCCGCTCAGGAGAAAGAAACAGTGGATGATTGTAGTCAATCTCAGGCACGTGATTTCCAGTTGCAGTTTGATTTTGGTTCCCTGTATCCAAATTCACTTGATCGTTGATTGTTTCCATTTTTTTTCCTGTCGATTCTTGCTTCAAGTGTTTTGAGAATTTCAATTCAAGTCTATGAATTGCAGATTATGAAATACAGATCTCGATTTAGGAGGAAAAGTCAGAATTTGAGAATTGAGAAGAAATGAAATTGAGAATTGTAGAAAAACATAATGGCGGAAGAGATATGACAGAACAAAGTCGAGAGCTTCACTTCTCGAGCAAAAGGCTCTGATACCATGAACTAATTGAGAGGAAGAAGATAGAAATGATAGAGAGGAAGTTATTCTTATTGATTGATTGTTGTAAGAGAACCAGATCACATATATAGAAGCTTAGCCTATCTAACTTCTTAACTAACTCCTAACCACCTACTCAACTACTTAAGCTAACAAAATAGAAATAACATTTCTATTTTTACATTATTTAACATAGTTGTTCAACAATTGAACTTCTATTTATCGTAAGATCTGAAAAGATTTTTATAATGGAGAAGTATATTTTATTTATACCAGTTGCCAAAAAATATTCTAAGGAAAATTATATTTATGTCTCAATTGTCTTTCTTTCTCGAAGGAAATTGATTTATGTTCTATCATCTAAAGGAGAGAAAGCCAAAAAATAAAAATATATTATTTTTGTTCATATTTAGATGCACCAAAAGATAAATGCATGTCATGTATTTTATAAGAGTAATGTTTTGTCCTTTACAATGAGATTGCATTGGGTTAATTGTTGTCATTGTTGAATATTTGTTGCTTAGTTATGAGTAACTAATATATTTTTATATATAACTTATTATTCAAGGAGTATAGTCTAGTGTATGTACCACGTTAATAACATGTTTGGCCAAGTTTCTTTTTGGCTAAAGTGCTTTTTTTAGTGAAAAATATTTTTTTCAAAGTGAAGCGTTTGACCAAGCTTTTAGAAGAAAAAAGTATTTTTGAGTAGAAGCACAAGCAATTTTGAGAAACAGAAAAAATAGTATCTCACCAAAATCACTTTTGAGAAAAATATACTTAAAAATACTTTTAAAAAACTGGATTAAATATTAATTGCTGCTCGAAAGTAATTTTTGAATTAATTAGCCGAAGCATTTTTGAGATTTTTTTTCGAAATAAGCTGATTTTAGAAGTGTGGGGAAACATAGTTTTTAGTAAAAAAAGAAAACAATAATAAAAAGATTAAAGAAGATCTATTGGTAAGATGAACACTAACGAAGAGAACCCCCTGGACTCAAACAACATGTTCAAAAATAACCTAGCTAACGAGTACTCATCTCAGCCTGAAACAAACGAACGTGAAACCACGGGGACAACGCTGGGATCCACCATCACTAAAACTACCCCAATGGACATGGAAATATGCAAAGAAGCTCATACGGATAAAACTGGAACCAAAACAAAGGACATAACAAATACGACGAAGAGGATGACCTTCCTAGACACCTTGGTAGCGGGCAACAAAGCAAATATGGAATCTGAAGGAAGCCAAGTCACAGTCCAAAAAAATATGGTCTCCTATGTACATGAGGATGAAACAAATAACTATCCTAACTCGGAACTCTTTATACCCATTACCTCATCGGACAAGGAACGCATATATAAGAACTGGTCAAATGCTCTCATCATCAAAATGTTTGGGAGGAGGATTGGCTACCAATTTCTCCACAAAAAAACTCCATGCAATATGGAAACCAACAGAAAACCTATCCCTAATAGACTTGGGATGCGACTACTACTTAATAAAATTTACCAAAGAGGAAAATTATAACAAGGCACTTCATGAAGGACCATGGTTCATAGGGAACCAATTTCTCACAGTAAGAAAATGGGAGCCTAGGTTCGTAGCCTCCAAAGCTGCTTCAACTTACTCAGCTATATGGGCAAGGCTCCCGGAACTACCCACTGAATTTTATGATTACGAGATCCTTCAAAAAATTGGACAGAAGCTGGGACAACTAATACGCATTGACGCATGTACCAAATCCGCATTAAGGGGTAAGTATGCTCGACTTTGTGTTATGGTACCTATAGAAAAACCCCTTAAAACCTTTATTGTGATTGGCAAACACTCAACAAATTTGCTATGAGGGATTTAATCTCTTATGCACGAACTGCAGCAGACTTGGCCACAACGTAAATAATTGCCCTTATCAATCACAAAAACAAGCAGAGGTACAGGAAGCAAGCTCTTCAAATTCCTTGGCTAAGCCTCACATGGTGGATACACTTACCCAAAAGATAGACCAATGGACAATAGTCTCACACCAAAAGAAAAATAAAAAACAAGCTCAATACCCTACCAGGATCGACTTAGACAAACCTAGGACGTTGACTACCCCAAAAGAAATCCCCAGTACCCAAAAATGGCAAAAGGCTGAAACAAGAGAAGGACAAAAGCTCTCCATTAATGTTGAGGATAGTAAAAACACATTGGACAATGGAAAACCTGTAGGAAACGATACAACCACCCCTATATCCCAAAACCAAAAAAAAAGATTACACAGTACCTAAAGACTATGCACATCAACATCACATTAATAACACCTTCTCTTGCCTTTACCCTAAGGATCTTGACACTACTAACATAGAAGACATTAACTCTCCTCATAACTCACAAATTCCCTTGGGCAATAACTCTCACAAGACAATAGTCCCTAACGTCTGCCCCTTAGCCCCCTCTACTATTTCGACGGTAGAGAACAACATATCACAAGGCATGGACATAGACCCTAAGATACCCACAAAAAGCTTAA